GGGCCATAACATCTAGGCAGAGATATACAGAAAAAGATCACATGATTGTTATTAGAATTTTATGCACTGGCTTTATTTAGCACAATAAAAAACCTGTTATTAGAAATTCGTGGGATTGTGGAGAACAATTAGTTTCTTAAAGCAATTTCTGGGGATTGTGCTTGTAAGTTACAATCAAAAAACTTTTGGAAATTAGTTTTAGAGTGCCCTTATTTAAGATTCAAATTAAAAGGGTTCCAATAAATTTGGTTTTAAATTGTATTATAACTTGTATATTTTTTTACTTTTTACATTTCAAATAATTATAATCAGTTATAAAAACTATTTCTTATAAGCGTATTTATTTTGCGATTCAATTTGGGGACTTTTTACATTTCCCATAATCGTAATCTCATTTATAACAACTATTTTTTGTAAGGGTATTTATTTTGCGATTTGAAAATATTCTTATTTCATGACGCAGTAGTGTCTTGTCCCATTTCGAGCGACAATTTTAGGTCATTCCCCTCTTGTCCATGATTTTACGCCGCTCCACTTTGCTATGCTGCACTCAAGTCGGCTCAGTGCTCATTGCGTTTGAGTGGCTTTAATTCTTTAATCTTTGGCCCGATGAGAGAGCAGACATCCAGATGGAGATTACGGAACAAAAAAGAGCGGCTATGTTTGCAGAGCTATCGCCCCATTTAACCATCTTTACCCCCCTTCCAGCGGGAAATTCTTTTTAGCGTTGATTCATTCCTCAATTAAACATTTATGCGGGACACCAACAAATTTTGCCTGTCTGAGTCACAAGAGATATGGGGAACTTGTTCGGCCAGTTTCGTGCCAAAATCAAAATTTTTTTTTTTTTTTTGGGTGCAGTGCATATAAACATACTTATACGTAATTATAGTAGATTTCTGCTTTTGTTTTCGCATGGAGGCTACTACGGGCAGTCAGTGTTGCATGTCCACTGAGGAGCCGTGGAAATATGTGCTAAAAATTTCCGTCCGGAGGCCAAATAAAGTGGGCAAAAATATTTACAGTAAAATTTGAATAAAATTACATTTTTCCTTTTTACATGAAAAAATTCTATCAACCTTATATGGTCAAAAATAAATGTTAAAGATCTTTTTAAAAAAAACCTAAAAATTTAAAAAAAAATTGGTGTGGCATGGAATTTATTGGTTCACTTTATCGAGTATTCCCTGTCATATTAAGTAGCTGCTTTGCATAAGCTTAAGCCAAAACGATGATGTCACAACTCGGCAGGGAGTTTGGCTCTAGTTTTTTGCTATTATAATTACAGCATTTGGCCGCTGATGATGTTGTTTTATTTCATGCACAATTAACACACGGCAGGCCGTAAACTCAGGGCTTATAGAGCCCGTTTTGTATAGGTTCATGTGATTTTTATATCGAACCCCGCGAGATGAATGACATCATTACGGGGCATATCTTTCTTTGTCTGGCGGTTCTGTATTTCTTTCGCCTGCTTTTGTTCCGATTCGGCTTTAAGCGCAAGTAACTGTGCCAAAAGCAATGACCGCTTCGCCAGATAGACAAGATAAAGACACAACAAAAAATTAAAACGAAACAACAACAAAAACGGTTAACGATCGTAGACGAGGTTGGTAGAAAATACATAGGTTTAATGTGGTTTTAAGTAGGCACATTCGACCAGACTTGGTACTTTTTATGTTTTCATTTCGAGGGGTTTTCTTAGTACCGAAATTTGTTAAGCGAAATTGTGGAACCTCCAGAGATTTGTTTCCATTCTTTTTGGGGCTAGTCAAATGCGAAAAAAAATTTCCCAATGTTTATTAAGAGGCGTTTTAAACTTTATAGGCCTTATCACGGGTCCCGGACAAACATTCTCTTACTTATAATTATGGTCATAGGAATAGGCTCTACCTATGTATTTGATCCCTATTTAAGGTGTGTTTACCTTTAATCAATTCATTTGAGTATTATATTGGGTTTTAAAGGGGATTTAACACGTACTGTCTAATTAAAGAAGTAAATATTTACTAAGTTACTCATAGGTGCTATATTGTAAACTATATGATCAGACTTTTAACTAAAAACACAATTTTTGAACTTTTTTGAGGAGTTGATGAGTAAAAAAGAGTTGGAAAAAAGTTTGTTTTTTGTAGGATGGAATAATTAAACACTAAGACATAAATTTTGATACAATTTATTAATTTGTCCTATTATTAAGAACATATTTTCCAAACAAATTGGAAGAAAGGATTTGGAAGTATTTTTTTTTAAGTACAAATTTTACTTTGTTTATTTTATAGAAATGAAATTCTTAAGTTAAGATCATATAACCTCGATTTAAGACCTTGATTTTGTTTGAGTATTACTGATTTGGCTGTTTCTTTCTAATGGTGCTATTATTTTGACCTCGGTTGTGACTATAAATAGCTATAGAATATCTGGACTTACCGGGAGTTGAAGGGGCGAACCCTCACGGCGACCTTGAGTGACGACATTTCGATGGATTGCTGTACTCCTTTATTTGGGTGGTGGGTGGTTGAGGGTGGTTAAGTGTTGGTGCGGAAATTGGGGGGCGTTCTTAGCACGTACAGTAAACCAAAACGGTAACCAAAAAAAAAACTTGCAGCAGCAGGTTTTCTTGTTTGTTGTTGTTCTCGCCTGACCACTTGCCACGTAATTTGATTTTTGTTTTGGGGGGTTATTTTCAGGGGGGGAGGGGGTGCAAAAAGGGGAGCGGATGGAAGAATTGGGGGGCAGCACTGGAAAACAATTCACTCTGTTGCGTTTTTTCTGCTCCTCCTGTTTTTTTTTTTTTGCTTGCTCTGCTTTTCAGTTTGTTTTCCTCTTCGTCTTCTTGTACACCGTTATTCCGAGCGATTGCCACCTCCTGTCCGCAAAATCAGCGAACTTTGCCAGTCCGCGCAAACTGCACATACTACCACCAATAAAAATAATAATAATAATTGTGCGCAATTCGACATTAATTCACTTGCACAACGCTACCATTTTTCGGAGCTGCTGCTCATCGCAACGCCTTGATTTCCCGTTTTTCCATATGGGTGTGTATTTAGTTATTCACTCGGGCACGGATCATTAAAGGCAGCACAATGGAAGTTAAAAAACACAGGATGTATGTACACTTGTTTACTCCGATTTAGTTTTATCTTTTCCGTTTTTAACGAACGCGACGCGATGTTGTTGTTCTCTGTCCAAACCTATCGGACATTTATCGATAAATCGATAAACTCGTTCGACTCAGTGTGACCAAGGCGACGCTACTGCTTAAAGTTACCTAGATTTGGCAGCCTAGCGGTATTTTTTCTTCGTTAAACGCAAGGTCTCTCTCCCGTGTGTAGATAAATGGTTGGAAACTTTGATAGAAATCTAGCGCCGCCTCAAACCGATTTGTCATCAAACAAATGCTGCATACTTTTAGGCGAGTCTGGAGATACTATTTTATCTAGAGCATACTTATGGCCAAAGGACCTTGTTTTTTAAGTATGCTCTATAAAATTGATAAAATAAGTGTATGAATACCTTAAACAGATACCCTTGCAGATCATTCCTAATTTCCTATTTAATTACAAAATATTAAAATGCGTATTATTTTAACATTAATTTTTTTATCCTTCGTAAGCGGTTATAAAATGTAGTCGTTCGATTATTGTTGAATTTAATTCAAAATTCTGAAATATTAAAAAAAAATTATATCACAGAGTAAAAGAGAATACAATAAAAACTAATGAAGCTATAATTGGTTTCCTTTTAAAATCCTAGTGTAAAGTACCTACTTTATTTCTTCGGAACCCCAAAATAAGTAAGATGTTTACAATTACAATTTAATTGTCTATCCCGCGAGAAAGTAACTGAGGAACAATATATATATGTAAGCATTCCAAAGGTTAGCTTTTTATACGACCCTTTTGGTTATAGAGAAGTTTTAAGCTAACTAGAGGTAATGTCGGCCTAGACTTCAAGAAGGCCAAGACGTCGACATTATGACAGCAAACAAAAGGAGCGAAGAGGCTTCACTGTACATGCATGTTTCATGTAGTAGCCAACTACAATCATCAGCAGTAAAATCGCTGTCTTAGTCAACGATCGAAGTGAGTTACCATTCAGGTAGAGCTATAACTGGTTGGGAATTACAGCGTCGCCAGAATCTTTGTTTACAATCCTACAAAAAATTATATCATTCGAGCTTTCTTTAAAACAAAGAGCGTGAGACGCTCTGTTACGAACTTGAGATACGAATGTCGCTCGCACAGGGAGACTTATTAAAAGACCGATTGAAAAAGTCATCGCAAAAAGTCTTTTCACTAATACAACTATACAATGTATTCCCTTTGAAAGTACGTGCGAGTGAAAGGGAGAGCAATATCGCCCAAGCACGTTAACGTTAACACATGCGCAAAAGACTTTTTGAAACGTCGTTCAGGAGCAATCGGTCTGTAAGCGAGCCGAGCAAAAGAAAGCCGAAAAAACTGCTCGTCGGCTGAGTGCGAGCAAAATTTCTGTACGAACAATTCAATCGGCTGCTCTCTGATAGTTTGCTCAAAGTCTCAGAGAAAAACAGTTATTTGGGGACCGCACGAATCGGTCAACAGTTATTTGCGAGCTATGCTTTAAAACCGTAAACCACTCACAAAAAGATTTATGCAAACGATTAATTTATGCAGATTCCCCTTACTCATGTACTGGTTTAAAGCAAAATTGAAAAAAAAATTGCCTTCAATGAGGCACTATGTGAGTACGAGTTATATGATTAAGAATCATGAGTCACGGGAGCATGCGCGGATCCACGGGGGGATAAGGGGGAACAATCACCTCGAATTCGAGTGACAAAAACACTGTCGGCCTGTGGTATTAAACAACATTTTTTTTATATCCAACCCCGACCCAAATTGTAGATCCGCCACTGCACAGGAGTCATGACTTGAAAAACATGGATAGATCGACGGGCACTATGATTATGCTCATGCAGAATCCTTATGATCTTTATTCTATGCAAAGTTGTATGTTATGGGTAATACAAGTTTAATTAAAAAGTTTAGTTAAAAATGGGAGAACGGAATAAGATAACTTTATGAAGTTCATGTAAAGTTTATAATATCAAGGCATTATGTTGTTCAGAATCCAATAGATATAGGCTTCAGTTCTTGTATAGACACCTGGCTTTCCGCATTCGTATCTTGGTCCGTAGGAGGTGATGCCAGCTAGATATACGAATTCTGTGTAATTGTCTGTTTTGGTAGCCATCAGTGGACCACCGGAGTCGCCGTAGCAGGTGTCCCTTCCCTTCTTACCACCCGCGCATATTCTGGTCTCCAGAAAGGGATTGTGTTTGGGGTGGGTTGGACACATGGTCCAATATTTCGTTTCCTTGATGGTGGCTTTCAACAAGACATCACTGAGGGTATTATTTTCGGTATAACCCCAGCCGGCGACTTCGAATTTGGGATTGGTATGCCAGTGTTTCGAGGAGATATGACTGCCCAGCAGACAAATGGGTCTAATTTCTTTGGTATAGCTGAGGAAAGAAACTTGGGTTGGTAAAATATGATATATTTTGGCTATCCTTACTCACCTTACTGGCCGCTCAAGTCGCAGCAGGGCGATGTCGTTTTCCATGCTATCATTCGGGTAATCATTTTTAATGACATCGAAATCCCTATGTACGGTAATATTCTCCACATCTATTTGCAAGTGCTTTCTTTTATCGGGATTGGAGGATCTGTAATGCTCGCCCAGGCGAACGGATCTGATATTCCCCTGAACTGCACAATGTGCTGCAGTCAGAACATATCGATTGTTGATCAGGGAGCCAGAACATTTTGTTTTGCCATATATGTCTAGTAGCATGGCTACCCAAGGGAACTCGTTGGACTTAGCCTCTGTTCCTCCGTAAATTCTCAAACTGCCCGGACTTCGTCCACAGATTTCCTCATTCGGCAGGACATTGCCAGGATCTGGGCAGCAAACAAAGAGCCTCCGGTCTAACGAACCAGCCTCGTTAACGAGTCCACACCGTATGTGTGGCAATCTCTCGGCAAAGGGCTTCATGTGCGGGCACAGGGATAGCCTTACGCACTTTTCATATAGCGAACAGTCATCTTTGAACGCTGATAAAGATTTTAATTAATAACACGTTTATTAAGCTTATTGGGTAATTAGTTAAGTAATCGACAAAGCCCGATTTCGAGTTGGCAGACTTTAAAGTAGTTTAAAATTGGAAAAGAATTTTAATGAAATAAATATGCAAATATGTATTGAGCGGACTGCCCTAAATAAAGTAATAATATCATATATTTAATATTTACCATTTGCGGTTGATTGTGTCAGGAGAAAAGTCTGGATCACGAGCAAAGTTTTTATCTTAACTCCAAGAGTCATTTTAGTATACTCGCTTCAGAGTTAACTGCAAAGAAATTATATATTTTTCATAAATTTGATAATTTTTTGCCACAGCAAAACCGAAAACGGAATTTTAAGTTCTGAGCAGAGCTCGTAAATAACTGTTAACTTTTATTTCTGAAACTGTCTTGTTACTCACAAAACAGAAAAAATCTAAAATTTTCTGTCAGTCTCGGACAGAAAACAGTTATTTTTTCTTTTAAAGTGTTTTCTGTTGACTGATTTCGGCTGACACAAACTTTATTTCTGTCTCTCAATAACAAAAAAAAAGGGAGACTTTTGCTTTCACCTCACAGAATAAGGGCCGGTTTCTCGAGTGCCGGCTAACATTTCTCGAACAGATAAAGTCCCTGCTAAGGCATTTTGGCTTTCTCGAGCATAAATGTGAGAGCTAACTTTGACAGGGACTCGGAGTCCCTGTTAAGCGTTTTCGACTCGATAGAATAACAGCTGATTTCCCAAAGCCAACTATGAAGATGAAACGAAATCACAGCTGACTTTTCCTTTAAATTATACCCAAACAGCTGATGAAATAATCGAAGCACGTCATTTTTTACCCTTCACAGCACAATTCTGTGCGTTAACAGCACTCTGTAATTGTTTCTCGTTCAGATAAATTAAAGCAGTCGAGAAAGCCGATTTGCTTTTACGAACAGTTTATCTGGTATTTAAGTTTTTCGAACAGATAGCTATCAGGAACTTTGACAGGGACTCGAGAAACCGGCCCTAAGTGTTTTTGAATGATCAAAACCTATAACTGTCTCAGAATAAGTGTCTTTTTGGATTGTGTGCTTATTTCTAACTTAAAAATTTTAAGTCTTTTCCATACATGTAGTTATATAAATACACTTTTTATGCGTGATATGGTTTTAGCGTATATATGTAAACTTCGTATTGCCGAATAATAATTTATTTTGTAAAAATTCACGCGAAGCATCTTCCTTTGTTTGTGATAATGACTGGACACCATCTAAAAATTCAAAGAAAAGGTAAATTCCTCAGCAGCGCATGGGTGACTTGTCGACGGCAATTCACGATGCTTATTGAAATCGATCTCAGAGGAAGATGATTTACTTGTGCCACCAAATTTTTGTTTTCAACTTTTACTGTTTGCACTGAGACACATATGAATAACTGTCCCAGAATAACTGTCTCTGTAAAACAGAAACACATTTGACACAAAACAAACTGTTTTCTGTTGAGCAAAGACAGAAAAAACTGAAAACAGAAATTAAACTGTTTCGTTCTGACAATTTTCCCAATGTGTCACTAAATAAGTGTTATTTGTTGAACATATTGAAAGTGTCGACAGTTATTAACGAGCTCTGGTTCTGAGTTTCGGAACTGATTGATTTATGACGAAATCGATTATCAAAGAATTAATTAAATAAGTGCTGGCAACTAGTGCGAATTATGTTGTCACTTTTTGGATACGACGCGTCGCGACGGTAAAATTAATTTTCTAAAGGGAGTTTTTCTTTTTCTATCTATTGGAAGATTGGTTTTCGTTTTCACTAACTATATTTAGTATTTAGCAGGATGTTGTCAATTATATGGCCGAGAGATCAGGTGTACGAGGAGTATTCCGCGGCAAGAAATTAAAACCTTCGCGCTGTGTGGCGAATTGATAACTGTTTGCTTAGGAACTAGACGTGCGCTTTTATACTTGCGAGCGATCCGCTTTCGGGCTAAGATGACGTTGTTAATCTTCTTTTACTTGTTTCTACTTCGTTTGATTTACGCATTGTAACGGACATCATATAAATAAAGAGCCAAGGCTGGGTGTTAGGGACGGGTTAGAGCGAACGCAAAAAAATCATTCGGCTTTGGCTCGTCGGCTAGTGGGGTGGATCCTTGCTTTAACCCGTCATTGCCTTCTCGATTACTATGCAAACTCGGATTGCGTGCAATGACAAACCAAAACTAAGGCCGGGGAGAGAAAACACTTCTACACTTGGGATTTTGTCGGGCGCAAGGCCCCCTACACCTGCGATCGGATCTGCTGCTTTACCACCTCAGCTGTAGAGGAGGCGGCATCCAGCCCACCCTTCCATTGGCCGTTCCATAACCATCTTCTTTTCATCCAGAACGGCCCCTCTTGCGGTTATTGCTTCACGGGGGTCTCATGTCCGCCGAGGACAAACACTCCAATTACCACATTATAAACATTTTATTTATCTGCTAACAAATTAAAATCCTAGACAAATTTATATACCTGAACACACTAACCGAGATTAACATAAAATAAAAAAATAATATAAATATAATAAATAGGTAAAAATATTATAAGAAAAATAAATGGCGATAATATATCATAGGTAGCATAAATATAATAAATGTAGCAGGTAATTCTTACGACTAGGGATAGGTGCAATAAATAGATTTTAAAAGTATATATGTTAAAGACGGCATGCCAATTAGATTTACATTTACTTCAAATGACAAATATAAAAAACTTTCGGTGTGGTTTTTCAACTCTTCATTACGTTAGGTTACGTCGACATGTTACCGTTCCCACTTGCATATTGAATCACACCGAGAGAGCAAACGCAAAGCGATTTTGTGGGATTAAACTTAACAAACCTACGGTATTGGCACCCAATTTCGCGATTGTCTTTACTTTCTTATTCTTGGGCCATTACGTAATGCCGGTTATACTGATGGGAAAACTTTAATTCGGCAAATTAAATTTAATGAATTTTTTGGTTTTACCACAATTTGAAATTTAGAAAATTTGAAATTGCCGCCTATCACCAAAAATTATATTTTGTTATATTTTTTTAAACGCTCACCAATTTTTCCAGATGCATCCCCGAAGAAAGCGCTTTTTTCGAAGACGGCTGAAAATGCTGCGAAATGAGAAAAAGGTATTTTTTTGAGGGACACAGGGGCTTTCACTTTTTCACTTTTTTCATTTTCAAATTTCCTTTTTCAATTTTTTTTTCAGGGGGTAAGTGGCCATACGATTTTTTTTTTTAAACTTTGATTTTTTTTTCTTTTTTCTACGAAAGAGGGAACACAATGCCGGAGTTTTGGCAGCACAAAAATACACTTTAAAATAACATAAAAAAAGAATTTACTTAGGATTAATAACTAAAAAAAACTATTCTATTCTGACATCTTTTTTTTAAATTACTCTTATTACTTCTTCGTAGATTCTGGTCTTTGATCGCCGAGCCTATAAATCACACAAAGCGCTGCTGATCGGACCCGTTGATTTTCTTTCATTTATTTTAAACTCACCCCCAATAATAGGACTCGGCCGAAATTATTAAATTTGGTTGCCTTTTCCGCCGCTGGCGGCAAGCCCCTTAACAGCCAAAATGGTAAACGCTCTCAGCAGATCTCAACTGACATTTCGCCCTGTTGACCTATTGCGCATTCTCTTACCCCTAACCCTAGTTCGGCAACCACCCCACAGATGACGCCAGCAACGATCCGTTCCCACTTGACTACCAGCGCTACAGCATTTAAATGACCAAAATTATAAAGGGTATACCTTTCGAAAAAAGGACCCTACAGCAGCGGTCGGCAGCATCCTATTAAGTGAGCATAGGGAATTGTTCTGCCCATCCTCTGCCAGCTCACGTACACTGTAGAACAGAGGTCTTGTCATCGGCAGCGAGCCGTAAATAAAGGGTGAGGAAAAGAAAAGCGAGGGGATAGGCCGGTTGGTAATAATTTTTGGGGTTTTTATAGGCAACCGCTTGTGGGTTCGAAGGCCACCGAGAAGAGAGAGGGCGAATTCGACTGAAGAGAACTGGGCGCATGCGCAAACACAACAATATCCAGCGAGCAAGTTTAACGCCAGCGTAAACGCCATCATAGATAAGTCATATCCCTCTATAACCCATGCCCCGACCCAAAGAAACCCGCATCCAAGTAATCCAGTGCACAGATTAGGCGACGAACTACCGTCAAGAGGTTAATTGAGGCGAAAAACAACCCAGGTTCGATCGAACCTAGTCGCGATCAAGAGTTATTTAAAGTTTAAAAAATATATTATTTCGAGCCGCAAATACCCTTCGTTCCGGCCAAATCCCGATCCGGGAGTCGACCGGGAATAAGCGCCACGGAAAGGCGGAGAAAGTAGTTTTAAATGTCGGTTTAAGGTTAGGTAATAAGTGCTAGTTCGTCAAAAGAAGAAAAAGTTTATTTTATTTTTGTTTGGTGATAGTGTCATTTGGGGATTTAATTTGATTTAAGCCCCCGTTTAAGTGATTGTTTTAAAGGATGCCCACAAAGCCCTAATATTCCCCTGGCCCATAAAGTCCCATATTTCTGTGTGTGTTATTTTTCCTATCCCTATCTAGCTTCATCGTATCGACTAAAGCGCTTTCGTCGGAGGATGGAAAAAGTGTGGTGAGTGGCCAAAAACATTTATTTAAAACCCCTTTAATTAGGCGATAATCCAAATAAAAGAAAAATTATAAATTAACCTCAAAAGAAGAAAACGAATATGAGGAATTAGAGAAACTAAAACTGCCACACTCAGAGAAAAGAAAAGTAGAAAAAAAAATGAAAATTTAAAAAAGCTAAAATCGAATATGAGTGGCTTGGGGCGTCTTTTCAATTAAAGGGTAAAATATTTAAAAAATAATAAATCTGAAGGAAGTCAAATTAAATGGGGAAAATAAATTAACTAAATATTAAATGAAACTTTTCCAAATCGAATAACAAAAATCCCCATGTTGCACTTAACCATATTTACATATATACAAAGTTTTAAAAATCTTATTTAGCTAATTATTATATTTTAACCTATTTATATATTTATTGTCTAAATTTATATATTTATTTCATGCATGTTCTTATTTAGTTTAAGTGATGGTTTTTATGTTTTCAGCTGGTAAATAAATTTTATAATGTCTAACTAATTTGAAAAGTGGCCGCAGCTAGCGTTGTCTGCAATATAGGGTAGCACTTGGTTAAAGGGGTCGCTCAGGCTGTCAAGCGACGAAGGGAATGAGCGACCAAAGGTAGGGTGGGCAAACCGAGACCTCCACGTCATCCAGGGAGGCGAAGGGTGAAGTCAGGCGAAAGGGATATTGTCAGGGAACGTAGTGTTGTATTGTGTGTGTTTTTCTCGACCCGGTTTTAAGTTCGGTGACGCACGCGAGTATCTAAATATTATTAGCAAAAGGCAATACGAGTCATCGGCAAGATCATCACACCCTTAGCCGAGAGCCAGAGCCGGAGAATATCTTTCGCGTGCGCCGATGGCTCGGGACACCAACTAGCCTATATTATGATTATGAGAGTAGCGGTTCGTTACAGTCTGCACACACACATCGATGAGCTGCCCCCTGCAAATTACTGTGTGCCATTTGTTTTAATACCATATTTGGTTATATTTTTTACAAAATGATTCACACCCAGGATATGACTCATGCCCATGCCCGGTGACTGATAACAGATGTTATGAGATTTTAATAATCGTTTGTTATAGGCTATTGTTTTCTACGCTATGCCAATCGAGAGAACCTGTTTACACCAAACTCTTGGTCTCCATTGCCCTGGAACTTAAAAGAAATATTTCAGATGTCCAACCGCAAACACACAAAGGGGGAACAGGCATGTATACATTAAATCCATATAAGTACCTACACTCAAAATAAATTTAACCCTAAATTTTAGAAAATCGCCATTAAAATTTCTTTTTTCTAAATACAAGAAAGTTATTTCTAAATCTTAGGAAATTTTTCTTAAGTCAAGAAAGTTTTCCTTAAATCCAGGAAGTTTTTCTTAAATGTAGAAAATGGTTACCATGAACTAAAATAACCCTAAAATCTAGAAAAAATGCCCTTAAAATTAGAAATTATTTTCTGAAAAATAGAAAGGCAAACGAAAATAATAAAATATTTTGGCAACACCTTTTCTAAAAATGAGTGCCCTAACCCTAAACTTAAGCTAACCCTAAATAATAGAAACATTTCCTAAAAAGTAGAAAGTTTTTCTAAAAAATAGAAATAGTTGTTTTCACATGCTCTGGCACACCAAAATGTTCAATGCCAGAACTTGTCAGCTGCCGGCCGGCTGTACTCGTGGCGCAGACCGTTAAAGCACTTGGTTAGCAATCGAATCGACGCGGGTTCGAGTCCCAGAGCAAAATTTTTTAAACTTTTTTTTTAAAGTTATTTTATTTTTTTTTTATTTTATTTTATTTTTATTTGTTTTTTTACTTTTTTTTATTCCTTTTTTTATTGATGGCAAGCAGTAAACTAAAAATAATTAGGTTTATATTCAGCTATTTTCTATATACTACACATAATATAAATTGCGTTAGCATAAATATATACATATGTATATACGTATGTAAATAAGTAAAACGCGAATGGTCAAAATTATGCAATTAGTATTCAAATGTGTTGTCCGCTTCACCCTTTACATACAATGCTCGGTTTGCTACAGCAAGTTTAAGTGCTACAATGGCCCAGTATGTAGGCCATTCGCTCCTCGCGCGGGAGACCCGGGTTCGATTCTCACGACGGACAAGTAAAAATTGTAAGTTTTTTTCATGAACATAAAATATTAACTAATCATAATTTCTACATTCCCAATCTTCCGCAGTCCCGTAGTCCACATTTACAACCACATTTGGCTTTGGTTAGATAAGAAATCCAAGCGCAAATACATAATAATAAATACATAACCTTTAACATTCACAATATACAAGACACACAACGCCTGCATATGTATATAGGGAGGAGTACATAATACAAACGTATATACAAAAAAAATCATGATTGAACATGTTTTTTTGTTTTGTTTTTAATTTCTATTTTTTAGGAAAATTTCCTACTTTTTAGAAATTTTTGCCCTTAAATTTAGTAAAATTACCCTAAAATTTAGAAATATGACGTCAAAAAAAATCAAAAATATAGAAAAATGTGACCCTAAAATTTAGGGCGAGCTTGTCTTGAAGACAAAAGTAGGGCGATTTCCTTGACTTTAGGGTTAATTTTATTTTGAGTGTACATATACACTTATTTTGTGGTTGGAATAAAGTCGCATCTTCGCGGCCGATTTTTGACCTCGAGTTAGCTCACACTACTCAGCAATAAGGTTGTTAATACATCGATACTGGACACTAGCGAAACCGGCGACGGATTTGGGGACGGTTGGTTTGGAAACCAACCCATTAAAACCGTTGGTGAATCTGTAGAGTTTTCTAGAAGTTTAAAGTAAAATTGCTCTGATTTTAAGAACATTTGCTTCAAAGCTTATAATTCGGTTGGTTTAAAATCGTTTGTTTTTGTGAAACCGAGATCTGCCAGTAAGCATTTATTAGCATTTAATTAGTTAGCTACCACTTGAGATATTTAAATAATCTGTTTAAACCCATTTAGCCTGATCTGCGGTTTGCCGCCATCTGCCGCAAATTTGCTACTCTATACACACAAAAAATTTGATTGGTAAATTTGAATTGAAGAATTGATTGGGGACTGTTTGACTATTATATTGGTTAGTTTTACCAATCGATTTTTATGTGTGTAAAAGCCAATTTTCCTGAGACACTTTAGACTTCAAATTCAAATAAAAGGCGATTACCCGTCTAAACGCAACAATATATCTTTCTATCGAAGAAACCAAGGTAATTTACGGTTATCTTCCTACCGATGCTTTCATTTTAATCTTATCAATAATATCGCTAACCGATTTCATGAATGGACGTCAATTCAATAAGCCAATAGCCGGTGAAACAAGTTTTAATATAGGCTAATTAACGCTTGCTAACGTTTAACGTTTAACAAATTTAAAAAAGCACAGTTAAAGGGGACCTCCCCATTAATAGTATGACTTCGAACGTCATAGTGGAAACGTTTAAAGTCTAATTGATAATGGTGACGTTGATAAATGGGAACCCCCTTAAAGGATATTTATTAGATGCTAATAAAGGGGAGTTTTTTTTAGAATGACTCAATAACTGTGCACCAGCTTAGGAATTCCCAGTTAGCCAGTCCTTCAATTACAGTTTAGTTCTAGTGTTTATTGGTTGATATGATCATTAATGAACTAATTAATATTATAAATATGTACATATTCATATGTAGGACCTACGTGGTATATACACTTTACAGGTTGAAGGTTGCTTTTCTTTCAAAGAATACCAAATGTTTTTCACTCTATTAGCCTAACTTACCGGTACATAAAATTTAAGACTACGTCACTCTTTCGCTGATAACTTCATTAAAAGAAACCCTATAAACATTAGAAATTTAGGGTTCGAAAGATAAATAGTTGCTCTTGGTCAGGTTTTTGATAAATGAACTAAGATTCTGTTTGCCTTTTATTGCGGTTAAAACAAAGCCTAAAACTGTTTTTTACAGGTGATTCATTACGATGTAATTTATAACCAGCCGCTAGGGAGTTATCACACGAGCTTAATTTGAAACTACAACTCGAAACACTCAAAATTCCCATTCAAAATTTTCTGCACGCGCTTTAATAAATGTTTTATAGCACACGCCAAATTTAAATTCACCGCAACAATAGCGCCGGCGCTTTGGCGTAATATTTATATATATATGGTAAAAAAATATTACTGGGTTAAAGTACAATTTTTAAAAATTTAGCCTTCAAAGACGAGTTCCGCGAATTTCTTAACTGCATACTAAATAACTCTGATTCGTCATCCCCTTATTTAATTCCATTTTTTCGCAAGCTCGTCGATCGATTTCTATTGCGATCTGAATTTATAGGTATTGTGAACAACAAACACATACATATTGCTTGCTTTTCTGAATTTATTTTTACCAAAGTTGTGAGTTATGGATAATACAAGTTTAAGTAATTGATATAAAAAGGAGAACGGGATAAAAGAACTTTATGTTATTGATAAAATCAGTAATAAAATCAGTAAAATTTCACTAAAAATTCAAGGCATTATATGGTTCAGAATCCAATAGATATAGGCTTCAGCTCTTGTATAGACACCTGGCTTTCCGCATTTGTTTCTTGGTCCGTAGGAGGTGATGCCAGCTAGATATACGAATTCTGTGTAATTGTCTGTTTTGGTAGCCATCAGTGGACCACCGGAGTCGCCGTAGCAGGTGTCCCTTCCCTTCTTACCACCCGCGCATATTCTGGTCTCCCAAAAGGGTTTGTGTTTAATACTGGTTGGACACATGGTCCAATATTTCGTTTCCTTGATGGTGGCTTTCAACAAGACATCACTGGGAGTATTATTTTCGGTATAACCCCAGCCGGCGACTTCGAATTTGGGACTGGTATGCCAGGGTTTCGAGGGGATATGACTGCCCAGCAGACAAATGGGTCTAATTTCTTTGGTATAGCTGAGGAAAGAAACTTGGGTTGGTAAAATATGATATATATTTAGGAAATCCTTACTCACGTTACCGGTCGCTTAAGTCGCAGCAGGGCGATGTCGTTTTTCATACTATCATAATCATCATTTTTAATGACATCGAAATTCCTATGTATGGTAATATTCTCCACACCTATTTGTAAGTACGGAGCAGCCGTATTCCACTGCCTGTTATTTAGCATGAAGTAGTCGGGATCGGTGGATGTGTCATGCTCGCCCAGGCGAACGGATGTGACAGTCCACCGATTCACACAATGGGCTGCAGTCAGAACATATCGATTGTTGATCAGGGAGCCAGAACATCTTGTTTTGTGACGATGGTCTAGTAGCATGGCCATCCATGGGAACTCGTTGGGCTTAGCCTCTGTTCCACCGTAAATTCGCATAACGCCCGGCCTTTGTCCACAGATCTTCTCATTCGGCAGGACATTGCCAGGATCTGGGCAGCAAACGAGGAGCCTCTCGTCTAAGGAATCAACCTCGGGATCGAGTCCGCACTGACTGGATGACATTTCAGTGTCCAATGTCTCGACAAAGGGCTTCATGTGCGGGCACAGGGATAGTCTCACGCACTTTTCATTGAGCGGACAACTTTTAAACACTGAAAAATATTTTAATAATATACACGCTTAAAGAAAGGCTTTGCACTCCCATATCATGAGATCATTTGTCGTTATTAAACCAATTGGTTAATAAGTTAAAAAATCGATGAACAACGATTTCGAGTTGGCAGTCTTTGGCACGTACAAAGGAAGGTCTTGCAATACTATTTCATGAGATCAGCTTTCTGTATTTAACTTATTAGTAAATCCGAACGAATTACCCTAAATTAAATAATGTATCAAATATTTAATAATTACCATATGCGGTTGATTGTGTCAAAATAAGAGTCTGAATCACGAGAAAAGTGCACACCTTCAGTCCAAGAGTCATTTTCGTAGGCACGGTTAAACTGCAAAGAAATCAGACGCCGGCTGCTTTGAATATTTTTCATAATTTGGTAAACGGGTTGGCAACAAACCCATGCAGAATATTAAAGCTCGGAACGGATTGATTTATGACTAATTCAGAAAATATCAGAAAATTAATTAAAGAGGCGCTGACAGCTAGTGCGAATTATGTTGTCACTTGTGGGACACGACGGTAAAATTAATTTATATGATATTGACAGGATACGTTGATATTCACATAAGCTTACAATTTGTACTATCGAGTACTTTAAAATGGATATTGGAAGTTGTGTTTTCGTTGTCGTTGTCGTTTTCACTAACTATATTTAGTATTTATTATTTTCGCAATAAATGAATGCCACGAACGGATTCGGCTGGCAGGATGTTGTCAATTCTCTTTCCGAGAGATCAAGTATACGAGGAGTATTCCGCGGCAAGAAGTGAGTACCGTCGTGCTGTGGGAGAATTAATAACTGTTTGCTTATGAACTAGATGTCTGCTTTTTATCCAAAATCGAATCACTGTGGACGGCGGTCAACGTAGTGACGAAGCGCACCAGGCGACTACTATTATATAGCGGCAAAATTAAAAATCACATTTTGTGACGAAAAATGCATGTGCATTTGGCTAAATAAATATACCTTATAAAATATTCTCAATCGGTCCGCATTTCGTCTGCAAAAGCATAATCTATTGCAGCGTACCGAATAAAAATATAGTATAAATAAATATTTTACAAGATCGAACCGATTAAGAACATTTTATAAAGTATTTTTATTTACAAGCATTTTTCGTCACAACATGTGATGTCAAAAACTGTGGATGTTGATGGTGCGATCGTCACTTTTCTTTTTAGCTCGTTAAGAGGTTTTTTTGGTGAGACGTGCATTGGTTGCCCAATGTTGGGGCGTCGGGCGATCACTTTATGTGTCTACTTCCGAATCCACACCTTATTACCTGAAAAAAATCATCAGCAATGGTCTAAAAATACACCCTTTTAAAGAAATGACGTTACAGTTATAAAAATTCGTAAAAATAGAATATATAAAAAGCGTAAATAGTTTATTCGAGGGTGTCACAGAAATCTCTTCCAATCAAATTTCTCCCTAAAAGCAAATCTCGGTGTTACAGAAACCGTTTCAATTATTTTTATCTAAAGCATAATTCTTGCCAAAAAAACTCATTATAATATTGTCTTTTCTAGACTTCGCCATTCTTTTGCTAATAACTCTAGTAAAGAAAAATCTTACAAATATTAAAGTTTTTTGGTTTGGATGGATAAACTAAGAATCCGTTCGCTAAAAACTGAGTTTTCGGGTCCTTTTTCTCAAAATCATAGTGTAAATGATTTTTTTTTTGTGACGTAATATTTAAACATCCTCCGGAACAATAATATAAGTTAAATACTTTAGATGATTCAGTTTTTGTTAATTCCTATTGAGGAAATATTAGATTAGCATTTATTTTGCGGCCCCTTTTAAGGATTTTATTAACTATCCCGTAAAGAAGTTATATCATTCGAGCTTTCTTTAAAACTTAAACTACAAATCAGAACACTCAATACCCTCATATCACACTTTCAAATGTGCTTTAACGTAATATTTATATATAGGTATGTATATGGTAAAAAATATTACTGGGTTCAAGTAAAATTGATAAAAATGTAGCCTTTAAAGTCTAGGTCTGCGAATGCAAGACAGCATACCAAATGACTCTTATTCGTCATTCCGTCAATTCCATTTTTTCGGAAGCTATTTGATTGATTGACATTACGATTTCAGTATTGTGAACAATAAACGCATGCGTTTTGCTTGCTTTTCTGATCTTTATTGTAAGCAAAGTTGTGAGTTATGGACAGTACAAGTTTAATTATTTGATATAAAAGGGATAGCGTGATAAGAGAACTTTATATTATTTATGTAAAATGAATAATATCAAAAAAATTTCACTAAAAATTCAAGGCATTATGTGGTACAGAATCCAATAGATATAGGCTTCAGTTCTTGTATAGACACCTGGCTCTCCGCATTCGTTTCTTGGTCCGTAGGAGGTGATGCCAGCTAGATATACGAATTCTTTGTAATTATCTGATGTTTTAGTGGCCATCAGTGGACCACCGGAGTCGCCAAAGCATGTGTCCCTTCCCTCCTGACCACCCGCACATATTCTGGTCTCCCAAAAGGGTTTGTGTTTAATGTTGGTTGGACACATGGTCCAAAACTCCGTTTCCTTGATGGTGGCTTTCAACAAGACATCACTGGGAGTATTATTTTCGGTATAACCCCAGCCGGCGATTTCGAATTCGGGACTTGTTTGGCAATATTGCGAGGAGATGTGACTGCCCAGGAGACAAATTGGTCTAATTACTTTGGTATAGCTGAAAAAAAGTGGGTTGTTCAAATAATACTATCTTCAGGAAATCCCTACTCACCTTACTGGCCGCTTAAGTCGCAGCAGGGCGATGTCGTTGTTCATACTATCATCCGGGTATTCATAAAATATTTCATTGAAACCATCATGTTTCTCAATATGCATCACATCTATTTGTAAGTACGGAGCATCCGGCTTCCTAGAATCTAGCTTGAAGTAGTCGGCATTGGTGGATCTGACATGTTCGCCCAGGCGAACGGATGTGACAGACCACCGATTCACACAATGGGCTGCAGTTAGAACATACCGATTGTTGATCAAGGATCCCGCACATTTTGTTTTGCCCCTTTTGTCTAGCAACATGGCCATCCATGGGAACTCGTCGGGCTTAGCCTCTGTTCCACCATAAATTCGAAAACTGCCCGGCCTTCGTCCACAGATGTCCTCATTCGGCAGGACATTGCCAGGATCTGGGCAGCAAACGAGGAGCCTCTGGTCTAAGGAATCAGCCTTGATATCGCGTCCACACCGTATGTGTGGCATTGTCTCGGCAAAAGGCTTCATGTGCGGGCACAGGGATATTCTTACGCACTTTTCATTGAGCGGACAATCTTTAAACACTGAAAAAGATTTTAATTAGGTCTTAAATTAATAATCTATAAAGGTCTTTTACTCCTATAACATGAGATCATTTTTATACCCGTTACTCGTAGAGTAAAAGGGTATATTGTATTCGTGCAAAATTATGTAACAGGGAGAAGGAAGCGTTTCCGACCCCATGAAGTATATATATTCTTGATCAGGATCACTAGCCGAGTCGATCTAGCCATGTCCGTCTGTCTGTCCGTCTGTCCGTCTGTCTGTCTGTATGAACGCTGAGATCTCAGAAACTATAAAAGCTAGAAGATTGGCATTTTGCATGCAGATTTTAGGAGTTCCTACGCAGCGCAAGTTTGTTTCAAAATGGTGCCACGCCCCCTCTAACGCCCACAATCGCTTATTTACGATTTTAAAAATTTTAATATTTTGAAAAAGTAAAAATGCAGTTTTATTGTGTTTATCAATACCTATCGAAATGTAGAAGAAATTTTTCTAATCGGACAATTCGTTAAAAAGTTATGCGTGATCAACGTTTTTTATCTCTATCTCCATCTCCCTCGCACTCCCTTTACCTGAGTAACGGGTATCTGATAGTCGGGGCACCCGACTATAACGTTCTCTCTTGTTCTTTATTAAAATTATTGGGTATAAAAGTTAAGAAATCGATGAACCCCGATTTTAAATTAGTTTGGAATTGGGAACACGTACATAGTCTTACCATACTATTTAATGAGATCATTTTGCAGTAATAAACCTTTTAGTAAATCCATCAATTGTCCGTAAAATTTAAAAACAGATTGGATCCCGATATCTTACGAACAATCCTAGGAAATATGTTTGCAATATGTATGGAACGGATTACCCTAAATAAAGTAATATTTCAAATACTTAATAATTACCATGTGTGGTTGATTGTGTCAGGACAAAAGTCTGAATCACGAGAAACGTGCACACCTTCACTCCAAGAGTCATGTTGGATTAAACTGCAAATAATTTATATATTTTTCATAAATTGATAATTTTATCATTGATCATTTTTCACTGATTATTCGGCTGTTCTTTTCCACCTTAATCAGTGATTACTGAGATAGTCACGAGAAGCACCCACAGATAAAATTATTATATGATATTGACAGGATAAATAGATAGTATCGTAAACTTACAATTTGTTCTATCGAGTACTTTAAAACTGATATTGGAAGTTGAGTTTTCGTTTTCGTTTTCGTATTCGTATTCGTTTTCGTATTCGTATTCGTATTCGTTTTCGTTTTCGTTTTTGTTTTCGTTTTCGTTTTCGTATTCGTTTTCGTATTCGTTTTCACTAATCATTCATTAAATATTTCGAAATAAATTAATGCCACGATCGGATTCGGTTAGCAGGAAGACAGGATGTTGTCAATTCTCTGGCCGAGAGATTTTCGAGGACTCTTTCGCGGCAAGAAATGAGTACCGTCGCGCTGTGGGTCAAATTAATAACTGTCTGCTTACGAGCTAGATGTCTGGTTTATATCGAAAATCGAATTAAATCTGAGACGTACGTGCATTGGTTTGCCAACTGGTTGGGGTGTCGGGCGACGACTTTTGGGGGCTAGAATGACGTTATGGTTTCTACTTCCGAACACACACCTTACTACCTGACAAAAATATTAAAATACCATCTGCAATGGTCTAAAAATACACCCTTTTTTTAAAGAAATGACGTTACAGTTATAAAAATATAATTTAGAAAAAGCTTAAATAGTTTATTAAGTTTCCATCACACTCGTTTAAGGGGATATCAAAGTACACAGCATACAAACTAGTTAAAGCTCTTAATCACCACCATTGGTCCTTCTGGGTCATACATAGGTATCCCCGTTCCACCGCTGGCACCACTCCAAGGCGGACTCGTAGCCCAGGAAGGTGGCCGCGTTGAAGGGCACCGCTCGTGCCACCAGCATCCAGCTGCCCCGGAAGATGCTCCTCCAGCCGTAGGCCCTGTACTGCACCCGCACGCAGTGGAAGATCCCCCGGTACTTGTGGTTCTCGTCCGCCTGCATCAGCGTCTTGACCACGTCGAACGGAATGACACACACCCACGATATGACGCCGGCCCAGGCTCCAGCCAAAGTGGTGACCAGCAGGTTTACACTGGATCCATCCGACTGACTGCGTCGTCGGCGCACAAAGTCCCGGCTGTCCATGTAGTCAACGCCCTGGCGATAGGCCAGCATGTAGATTCCATAGGGCAGGACGTCGCTGTAAATGGAAATAATTTGTATTTATTTTAATATATTTAAAAAAGTTAAAAATTAAGCCTTTCAGACTCAAAAACAGGTGTCTCCAATGAAATGTTGGCGCCAATGAGTTAAATGATTTTAATATTCGTTTATTAGCTTAATCATCAGTTTTGCTTCGATTCGCTAAGTTTATTTAAATATTTATAGGCTATCGCTTTCTTTGCTTTGCTACTCTTTAGAGAACCAGTTTTCCTGAGAACCTTTGCTCTTAAAATTCGGATTAAAGTCTCCTCCAAAAATAAATATTGCAAGCTAATCCAAAAATATAAAGAGAGGGGGAATTTCCGTTTAAATGCATCTAAGAAGTAATCTTCGTATCAATAACCTCGCTAACCGATTTCATGAATGAACGTCAAGTCGGTGAAACAAGTTTTGGTTTTGACTTACTCACGTCCGATCGCCAAATAAAACCACAAAGCCAAAGTTAAAGGGGACCTCCCCATTTTGGGTTTCAATAAATCGACTAATTGCATATAATTGGTACGTAAAAACTCTTTATAAAAATTCCCTACGAATTTCAATTGAAGTCTCTTTGATAGTTGTGAAAGTGATATAAGCCTTCTATAGAAGGGGTTCACCTTGAAGGATTCTTATTGTACGCCAATAAAATACATTTTTTGGGATGACTCACTATATTTGCACCTTCAATTAGCAGGATATTTCTATTGTTTACTGGTTTATCATTAATGAACTAATTAATATTAGAAAACATAGTATACGAAGGGCATACATTGTAAGTATACTTTTTTTGTAAATTAAATTAAATTTGTTTCATTTATATTTCCTGGTGTTGCAAGGAATTCCTTATAAATTAATGAACTAATCACAGAACTTTACTACTTTATAGGCTAGGAAACGCATTCTTTCAAAGAATACCAAATGTTTTGAGCTCTTTTATCCAAACTCACCGGCACATCATGGGCAATAGGCCGCGGTAAAGTCCCGAGATCCCGTCAGTCTTGAGTATCCTTTTGAAAGTGCCAAAGGCCGTTCGCCGCTGCCCGTATAGGTAGTCATTGTAATCTGTGGGCTTTCGGAGATTAGCTTTCCACTTCTAGGATAGTATAATCATGTCAAAACCTACAGGTCGCTGTCTGCAGACGGACTTTGATCAGTTCCATGGGACAGGCGATGAAGGACTGGACGAATCCCGCCACCGAGCCCGCCAGGAACATGTTGTGGTACTCCAGCTGCTCCCGCTGGTAATCACTGTGGCACACCTTCCTCAGCTGCCGCAGGTGGTTGCCGTAGATGCCGAAGAGCAGTGAGTTGATCGCCCCCGTCGAGATGAACGGGAAGAACATGCCCCTGTAGAAGCCGTTGACCTTTAAAGCGATGCCGACCGATTACACCTATTACCTCCATAAGGGATTACGTCAAGTCAGGGTTTAGGATGTGCCATAGAAATCTACTTCTACTAAATTAAAACCAACTAAAACTACCTACAAAAGCTTCGGAATTTGTTAAAAACATAACAATTAATAGACATCAAAATTTTTTTAAATTTTTTGTATTTATATATTTTAAGCTTCAGTTAACCTTTTCATGGCTTTAATTCCTATTTATTAAAAGATTTTACCAATTTCCAAAAATATTAAAAGAGGCATTAAAAGGCAAACAAAATTAATATTAATACATTTTAATTGGCTAAGGGCCGGTTTCTCGAGTGCCGGCTAACATTTCTCGAACAGATAATGTCCCTGCTAAGGCATTTTGGCTTTCTCGAGCATAAATGTGAGAGCTAACTTTGACAGGGACTCGGAGTCCCTGTTAAGCGTTTTCGACTCGATAGAATGACAGCTGATTTCCCAAAGCCAACTATGAAGAAAAAACGAAATCACAGTTGACTTTTCCTTTGAATTATACCCAAACAGCTGATGAAATAATCGAAGCATGCCATTTTTTGCACGTTACAGTGCGTTAACAGCACTCTGTAATTGTTTCTCGTTCAGATAAATTAAAGCAGTCGAGAAAGCGGATTTGCTTTTACGAACAGTTTATCTGGTCTTTAAGTTTTTCGAACAGATAGCTATCAGGGACTTTGACAGGGACTCGAGAAAGCGGCCCTAAAAATATCAAATATATTGCATACTTTAAAAATTCTTTAGATATTTTTGTAAAAGAAAATTGCTAAAAATTCCACAAATAGCCAAAAATGATTTAGTTTTTCTAAAGCCCCAACTCGACGTAATTTTTTTTGCCAACTTACCCCATTGTTGCGACTATAGATCTGTTGAATGGCTGTCACGACGGATGAATTTGAGGCCTGTTGCCATACTTTGATTGTGTCGAGTGGGTGGGCCACCAGCACCCCACAGGCACCTTAATAAAATAATAAACATATACACAGCATAAATTAATTAAAAATTGCAGCCACAAAGTTGAAGAAACACATGTTGAACCGCCGAAAGCCGCTTGCCAAGAATCCGATGGATCAGGGGCGATGCACGTGAACTTGGCCATGGCGCCCGTTTTCCGCAGGGGCTGTGTGCCTGTGCCTCTCTCAACAAGTGGCCTAATCATCTGGTTCTGCATTGCGTCATTCACAGAGTTTCGCCCAATATGGGATGCTCGATGATCGGTTCAAGCTGGAGCTTTTCCACTCACCGCCAAAACATCCGGCCACAAAGTCGCAATAATTCTCCCACTTCATCAAGGAGGATCACGGGAGAATATGCAGCGAGTGGGTGGAATATTTAAATATTGATTTTTCTCGCGATTTTCCAACTGCACCTGACGACGGCAGCGAACCAACTGCAACGAAAAGCTTTTGTGGCCAAGCTCTATGATTTTATTAGCTTTTTAACTAACAAAAGCTGATTGCTAAAATATGCAAAAACCGGATGGTATATTTTTTAAAAGAGTCTTCTTTCAAATAGATTAATCATTCTCTCGTTTAAATGAGGTGAAAATGCTTCTTATTTGTTTTTTGCTGAAAATCCGTTAAAAGTTTAGTTTTAAATAGTGTTTGTGTGTAATAATAAATTTTAAAACAAAAAATTTTGTTCTAAGATTTAGGCGTTCTAAAAGAAAATTACTCATACGACACGTATGACAGTTAGAATTTAGACGAACCAAATTGTTCTCCCATTTCTAAACATGTCATTTTATTAATATCGTTTTAAAAAGGGAGAGCAAAAAAGAACAAATGTATAGTTGAAATCTACGCCTCATAGTTCAAACTACCTTTTGGATCTAAGGCAACAGTGCGTATGAGTGATAAACTTTGAAGCCAATTCGCAAAATGCGCTTTTTTCCTGATTAAAAACCGAAAAGATCTCAAAACGAAGCTCCCAAGCTTACGTCAACCTTTTCTCGATATCATATCATCCTAAGCATTAAAATCAAACAAGTTTTGTGTTTTATTTTGTATTTATTAATTTTTTATTGTTGATTGATCTCTTTGCTTCTTTTCTCTCCGTTTTGCTCGTACTCATTCATTCAGTTTTTGTGTTTTTTTCATGTTTTACTTGGGTTTTAATCATTTTTGGTTAATTCTGCTTGCAGCTAAATATTTCTTTTTGTCTGCGCCATGCAATTTCAATTTTTTCTGCTGCCTCTCGCCATTAGTTATTTTCTCATCGCATATTCTCTTTTCTGCCTGGATTTCGAAAGCAATCAACTAAACCTTTGTTTTCCGATGCTCTTGTATATATATTTTTTGTTATATATATATGCATGTTGTATATATACCTATATATATTTATTCCCATTTATGTTTGTGTAATTATAATTTACTCTTTATATTTACTCTCAGCATAAGATTTTGTTTAGTTGTGTGTGTTCGAGTGAGTGTATGAGTGAGTCTGGGTGTGTGGGTGTTTGGGTGAGTGTGGTGCAGTGTGCCTTTAACCCAAGAAAACAATCGAAATCCCCGCACACCGTCCTATAGAACAAGAACTCAAAGTTATACGTAATAATAGCATGTGTCATATACGATAGGTTTTTTTACAAGTCTAGAACATAAGAAAATACATAATTCACATATATATTTATCCTTTTCCATCATCATCGGCTCCTCTCCTCTCATTTCATTGTTAGTATCCATAGTATTTATATTGTTTAAGCGCTTTAACTATTTTTTGCTCTTATTGTTGTTGGTATTTGTTAGCTTTCTCCGTGTTTTCCGATTTTTTTTCGGCATTTTCATTTGTTTTCTTGATGCAACGTTGTTAATGCGACTTTATTTTTAGTACACTTCTTAGTACAGTACAGGGTTTTGTCTCTAAAAGTACTTAACGAGTTTTGCTTTTGCTTATACTTCTTAGCTCAACTGGCTCTAGGCAGCTGTTGCAGTTACGATTTAACATCCTCGATTGGTTTATACATATAAATACAATAATAGAAACTATAGTTAAAGTTACGATATAAGTTGAAAGCGGACTAAACAGGTTAACTCAGAGTGCAACAGAAGTGTGTTGTTGATCGATCACAAAACAAACAGAAATGAAGAGACAATAATCGTTAAACCACTTGACTTATATATGTATTTTTATCGTTTATTAGGCATTCTTTTTCAACATTTTTATTTATTTTATTTGTTGCTTGTTGTTTACTTGATTTCTTGTTTCGTTTTTACATTTGCATTATTTGAATATGTTTTCTTTTCTTTTTCTGATTGGCATCCTATGCGAACATCAACGTTAACTAGAGATGGGTCCTATTCGTGATTCGTGTGTTATATGGATCTGCTAGTTAGGAATAGAGTTTGGTGTTACGGGATTGGCATAACAAACACAGGCCAAGAACTTCTGCCTTTGACTTTAACATTCTACAGTCCTGTTTTTCTTCTTATTTTTGGTGTTCTTCTTGGGATCTTTAAAGGCAGTAGGTCCTAACGCTCGGGGTTATCTGATCTGATCTGATCGCTATTGCTTCTCAATGGGAGGGGGATGATAATCGTGGGTTCTTTGTAGTAGCTCTAGTTGTAATTGCTGTTTAGGCTTGGGCTTTGTTTAGCTATTTTCTTTTTAATTACACGCTAATATAAAGATGCAAAACTTTCTTACACACGTTGCTTAGTATTTAGTCCATAGGTTCAATTTTTGTTTTCGAAATATACTCTCTGCTCTAGCCGATGACTCTTTAGTTGATGCACTTTATACGCTGCTCTTCCCTCGCTTCTGTATTGTTGCATATTTTTGACGTTTTACAAACATATTTAATAATAACGCTAACTTTTACGTTTCCTTTAGATTTTTTTATACTTTTTTTTTCTTATTTTCCAGTTTTTGTTTTGTTTGCAATATATGTATACATATATATGTGTATAATAACTCACGATTCACAGACACAATTATCTTTAATATTATATGAACTTTTGCGGTTTCGCCTAATGAGAGACATTCATTAGTGGATATTCCCTATCGCCGCCTCTGCTCCTAGTTTTCTTCTTTTTTCTGGCTCCTATAATGCATGCTTCTATACTTTGTAATGGGCGTGAGAGTTGAATGAACAAACATACATATGCATAGTATATTTCATATATAAATTTTATATATTTCCTTACTATGAGTGCGGCTAAGTGTGAGTGAGTGAGAGTGATAGTGAGAATGCTGGGAAAGCGGTCCAAAAGTATTGCCCACCTTTAACTTGGCTACATTATTTACAATTGAAAGTATTGTTTAGCAAATCGAATGACAATTGTGCGCATTTCCGTGAGGATTGAAATTAAGTTAGTTATTAAATCGAGGAGAAGAGTCCGAAAGGAATTTGCAAAACTATGTGGGATACCACCGGATACTGGACCGCTTTCCTCAGAGATATTCAAAGGATATCATAGATGCATCGAGCCTGGAGTGGACTGTGGAAATGTTTCGCAAGATGCCAATTATCATATGGGGTGAGGGGTAGAGACTATGCCAAGCTGAATTTTCCATAACCTTGTTCTATAAACTATCGTTTTTGCCTGGTTGTTGGTTTCTCTAGCTTATCCTTTTTACAATGCTCGATACTCAATATTTGTATTCATTTTACCGCGCATGCGCCTATTCCTCAGCTTGGAGATATATATTTTTGTTTTTACATACATTCATATAGATCAGCGTTTATCGTACGTTATGGTAGTTAATTGTATTCTTAATTATTTATAGATTTATGCCGGCTCCCTGTCTATCTTGGCCCGTTTAGCAGACACTTCAACAATGTACTAAAACTTGGCTTTTTGTTTTCTTGTTCTTGCATCGCGTAACATCGTAACTGCGCAGGCATTTAGCGGGAATTGTTGGAATTTCTGTTTTCGAGAAGTCTTGACGGAGTGTGCAACACTTAAAGCTAAGTAACAAAGTTTCATTCTGGGTTTCAAGGGGGAGGGAGCACAGTTCTCTCGGTTATTTTATATACAATTCAGTGGGAAATCTGGACTAAGACACGCCGTTCTATGGAGAAATTGAGAGAAAAAAAAAATCAAAATCTGAGGATGCAGCGCAGTTTCAACTATTTTACACATTTCAAATGAACGCAAATACTTAGCAAGTGAACATCTAGGTTGTTGTGTTTGTGGGTGGCGGGGATAGGATGGCTGATCTATGCTAGTTAGCAATATGTTTAGTTAATAATATTCAATGCGCTTCAACAATCGTCAATCGTCCGTTATAGTTTTATCGCTCTTCTGCACTTTTTCACTTACTAACATGATTTCTCTTTATTCAACTTGTTTTTCGCTTAAACGTAATTAATAATTATTTTTCTTCTTTTTGTAATATATATTTATACGTGTCGCGCACGTGTGTGTGTGTGAGTGTGTGTTGCTGTAGTTGTAAGATACATTATTTATAAAGATTTCATTCTTTTTTTATGCCGCACTCAAGCCTTCTTAACACACACACGCCCCGGGATCTGATTCAGCTCCCGCTCCAGATTTCGGTTCTACCTCCTCTCTTCAACAGCCGCCCAAGCGTCCTCCTGGGGTTCAGAGCTTGGTTGGTGTCTTGTCAATCGAGTATACATTTTAGTTTTATATTTTCTGGTTTTAAAGTTTAGCATATGTGTGGTTTAGTATAACTATTTATTTCTCCTTTAGATGTGTGGTTGCTGCTGTCTCTCTGACGTTTACGTTTACGGATATCGAATAACGCGCGTTACGCTTACGCTGCTCTTACTGATGTTGGTTTTTGCTTTTGTTTTTGTTTTATTGTTAGTTTCGGGCGCGCCTTGCGTTGATGCTGCTTAGTTGTCCGCCTTATCCTGTTTGATTTTCGCATTTGTGGTCGCAGGATTATTGTCGCCGCCGGCTCCGCCGCTGGACAGGCTGCCGCTGCTGCTGCTATTCGACTGCTGCTGATGAGAGTTCAGGCCAGCGGTGCTGGGTGGCTGCAGGGACGTTGACGCCGCGGTAGAAGCGCTGTTCGATGTCGTAGCGCTGCCGCCGGCGGTGCGCCCACTAGAACGATTGGATTCGAGTTCGTGCAGCTTCTTCCACAGCTCCTCGCGGTCCCGCTCACGTTTCTTTTCCCTGGAAAAATCAGTGAAGATAATGTTTATCATTTGTTGCTCATTTCACTCAGTATTTAACACCCACTTTTGCCGCTCCGCTTTGTAGCTGGAGGTCAGCTCATCGAACAGCTTCGAGTTCATCTCCATGAACGTCTTCAGAACGTTGTAGACAAGCGCCACGATGGTTTGATTCCAGTGCTCCTTGCTGATGCGATAAAGGGCCGGGAACATGATGGGCATGATGACCGCATTGTTCTCCTCGATCAGCGACATGGCGTACTCATTGTTCCACAAGTAAAGAGCTCGCTCAGCAACCTGAAGGAAAAATATTATGTATATTATTTTAGGTTCTTTTAAGGCAATATCCTTAACTCACCTGAAAATGTGGACTTGACACGCATTTTGCAATCTGGCGGAACAACGGCTCCTGGATCTTGACAAACTGCGGCGGATCGATCACATCAAGTATCTCCTCGATCTCGCCCAGGAACATGACCTCCTTCTGGGAACACGTCTTGGGCCAGAACTTTAACAGGCCACGCACCACCGGTTCGGTAAGGAATGGATCCTTCTCTAGGAATTGTACAATGCAATACGCCAGTTGAGCGTGGTAGAGCGACAGGCATTTGACTTTGTGCAGCGGCAATAGGACCTTAACCAGAAACTGCTTGTGTTCGGCCTTCAGGGGCAGTGCGAATCCGTTGATGATACTAAATAAACGAAAAATCCATTATTATTTGTATAAAAAACTAATTATTCATATGTAAGACACCCACCTGCCAAGGATCTCCAAAAGCTCACCGACTCCATTGAAGTGCTCCGTCTCGTAAATAAATCGCAAGAATATGTTATTGATTTGTTTTCGTATAAAAGCCCGCAGTCCCAAAAATTTTCCATATATGCGATGCAACACCGTCTTCAGAAAGTCCCGCTCCCTAGGATCCTCCGAATCGAAAAGCTCCAACAGCTGTTTAGAATAAAAAAGTCATTAGTAATGATTAAATTGTAAGGTTCTTTAAACAAAACTCACCTGCAAAACGAACTTTTGATCAATCACACGCTTGCCGATAGTCGCTTGGAAATCCTGGGACTCCAGGAACCGCAAGAACACCTCGTACACCAGCTGCAGGTGTGGCCAGGAAGCCTCTAGTGTCGGATCATCCTCCTCGGGATCGAAATCGGGATTCTCACTGGGCGGCAACGTGCGAAATAGGTTGCAAGAAATCTGGTCAAGGAAAATACACAAATATTAGAGCTAGTTTTAAGTACTTAAGTTTATGACACTTATAATACTAAGATACTATAACAGAAATGTTATTGCGGTAGTCCCTCCAATATTTACCATGCGAATTATTTCCGGGTAAACCGGTTCCGTAAGCACACCGCGCCCATGTGTTATATAGGTGGATAGGTCATTGAGCGCGGCCCGTTTGATTTCCTTGCCCTTCAAATCCGTAACGGGATCCATAAAGTCAAAGGATACGCAACACTGGCGCAGCTTCCGTATAAACAGCTCCTCCTGTTCTAGGCTGGAGCAATCGGCTAGGGATTACAAATGATATGATTAGTTTAGTTTTAAGGTGCATTTTATAAATAATATCCAACCTTTTAACGGCGGCAATTGCTGCAGCTCAACATCCTGAGAATTTCTGTAGCGCGAGGAACCTTGACTCTTTTTACCCTTCTTCTTGAGCGAACGTTTGGCGAACGGGTCGATTCGATCCACAAACGTGCCCGATGACATCTTTTCAGATTTGGGTTCGTTTGAATCGATGGCGGTCTCCGTGGCTGTCTGTGTGGTATTCAGCTTGCCGGCTTTGTTTTTAACGCTTGCCACTGAAAATTGATCGCCAGCTGCACTGGCAGCTGCTCCTGCTCCTCCTCCCTCGCCTGCGCCTCCTTGGCCTTTGCCCTCGCCAACGCCCTCGTCGCCGTCTTCGCCGAAATCGCTGTTGAGGATCTCGACTGGCCGTTTGTTGCGTGATTTGCGTAGCCAACCGAAAATTTTATGTGTTATGTTGGCGACTTTGGCGGTTGAGTTTGGCGTCTTGCAATTGTTATCGCTACCCTTGGGTAACAGCTCTACTACTGATCCGCCGTTCGCTTCCTGATCAATATGCAACTGCAACTGCAACGGCTGCTGCAACTGCAATTTCTTCTTGTTTTTCTGTTTCTTCCCCTTGAAAGCGATCGCCTGCTGCTGCTGCTGTTGCTCGAGTTGCTGGATCAGCTTCTGTTGCTGGGTAATGTTGATGGCGGTATTAAAGCGGTAACGACTTATCTTGGCATTTATCAAACGGACACTCGGGGGGCGTTAAATTTGTTATATTCCTCTTGAACCGCTTTTGCTTCTTAAATTCGTTTACTGCAATAAAGTGGGGCAATCAATTAGCTTTCAGGGTGACTTCATAATCAGTCATCAACTCAACTCACCTGTTTCTTTTTGTTTGCTCTTGTTGATTTTTGTATTGTTTACTGGAGGGATTGTTGCATTTGCGATGCGCCTTACTCTGTGGTTAATACTCTCGCTTAGCTTCTACGTTGCTCCGATCCTGATCCTGTGCTTCTGTTTCTGTTTCTGCGCTGCTGCTGCTCCTGAATGGCACATCAATTTGGTTAACTGAGAAAGAGCTGCTGCTGCTGGCTAACTGCTAACTGCTGATTGCTGCATTCACATAGTAATTCGCCTGTGCTGATTTCCTTTTTTATTGGATTTTATGGATATTTGGCATCACATGCGCACTGCAATCAAAAATGGAAAAAGTATGGGGTTTTGTGTCAGTTAGATAGTTCTTATCGGTGTAAATTACTCAAAAAATGACATCGAGCAGTGAAAGGCAGCGAAAAAGCCCCAAGAGAGTCTGATAAAATGAAACATTCAGGTGTATCTAATCGTTGGCTTTGCAGGTGCGTTTGTGTGTGCGTTCGAGGAGATAAAGGCTTCGCCTGTGATTTCTTTGTTACCAGATAACAGATAGCTGATAACAAAAAATACTGGGGACTGTGGCAACACTAAAAACCAAGGTGAGCATTCAAATTCAAGCGGAATTCTGGCTCTTTATGGATTATACAAAAGAAAAGCGAGAGAAAACGCTATAGTCGAGCAACTCGACTATCAGATACCCGTTACTCAGCCAAAGGGAGTGCGAGAGAGATAGAGACATGCATGCAGTGAAGCGACTGCTTGATACACTGCTTGAATTCCATTTTTATTTGCTCATAACTTTTTAATGAATGGTCCGATTTAAAAAATTTCTTCTATATTTCGATAGGTATTAAAAAGATCAACAAAATTTCATTTTGGTATATTGGTTAACCCTCAATATTTTTATTTTTACTTTGATTAAACCAATTCCTTTACTTTCTCTGAAAAACACAGTGAACAACAAAGGAAACGTCCCATGTGCAACACTTGCCAATGCAATCCGTCTCCTGATTGATTGATTGATTGACGTATGGCAATTGCTGAGTCCTGAACTGAACTTTCCCTCGGCTGACCACGAAAACCGAAAAACCCAAAAGCACTTCCCAAGCTGGACGCTCTCACAACCGCAAAGCCCAAAATGTGGCCAACTTGGGCTCAGCTCAGCGTTGTTTCTCGTCAATTCGCAACTGTAACTGACTGTTAAATTAAATTTAGCATGGCGTCTAAATTAAATCAAAACGAGCCCGGAAAAGCCATTGACCGGAAACTAGATGCCGCTGTCATCTTCAACGGAAATGAAGCCAAATGAAGGACGCGTCGCACAAGCTGGCAGGGAAAACTCATTCATTTGCATGGTTTGTTTCGAGGGGGAGAAATCATACCAGGTTGAACTTCAATTTGAGGGAAATGGGAAATGGCAGGCTGGCTCTCTGAGGCAGGAAAGTGGTGCCACATGTGTGTGGCTGCTGCTGCAGCAGCACAGTTAGTTTTCACTTCGAGGACGACATTGCGGAACTTGTTCAGTGTTTCCAGTTAAGCACACAAATTTGCACAAATGCAAGTCAAACCGACGACGACTGCCCACCGTCGATTTCCAAGCGAAAACATGTTTAACATGTCGCACACCCACATGCAGAGAGCAGCAAAATAAAAGAGCCAGAAAATAAAGCAACTATGTACTGACTGGGACGGGACCACAAGGCGTATGAGTGACAAACAGGTAAATGCGATCAACTTGGCTTGGGCCAGCTGCCTGTCTGCCGGTGGAAATGGAAATCGAGACGCGTGGGCGTCTCTGCAGAGAGAGAAAAACCTCTATAAAAGTCTTATTCCAAATACTTCAATAAAAACGGAAAATTTTTAAAATTTAATAATAATTTTAGCATTTATTTCCAAAATGTTAAAATGTTAAATATTATTTTCTTAGCATTTCAAAGATTATTACTTGTCTTTTAATTCGAAGAAACATTTAACCCGGTAGAATTTGAATATTATCGATATTTTCACAATATCGATTCGATAATATTGATGTTTTAAAGAAAAACCACATATTAAATATGGAGAAATAGCTAGTTGTCAATATGTTGTAAGCTATAGTGAAGGGATGTTTTTAGGTAAAAATGTCAGTATCAACCCCGTTTTTAAAGCATTTTTGTTAAATTTTTTCCAGTGTCTGACAAACCAGAATACGCATGTGTGTGATTGAGTGTGAGCTGGCCAGCCGGAACCTACTGAAAGGTAAAAAGAGCAAAATATAGAGAGAGTGGGTGCGAGTGGAGAATGAAAAGTTTGCACAGCTGCCTTTGACGGAGGCTCTTTTCTACTTATTTTCCACGCTGAGTGACGGTGGTCAGCGCTTTTCAACGCGTCGCCCTGTTAATAATTGAATTTCTGCACTGTTTTTTCGCTTTAATTTGTTTCAATCACCTTCGCTGTGGGGCGGGGACCTCTGCGAGAGAGCAAACACAATGTCAACCCCGACGTGACATTTAATATGGGGGCAGGCCGGCAGGCAGCAGAGCGACGATAGCGAATCTAGAAGACTGGGCTGGCCAGTGGTCATTTATTATGCTATTTTATATAAAACCATCAACGGGGCTCTCTGCCCAGCCCATCGTAGTTCAGTTCAGCCCAGCCCAAAAGTCCCAAGACAAATGACCAAAAACAACAATGGCTGACCATTAGTAGGCCCACAGTATTCCCCCTTTAATGTGTGCTGTTGTGCGTGTGACCTTATGACATTATTTACTCAGCAGTGGTAGCGAAATTCCCCAGCATATCATCGTGAAAAACAATAACAAATAGCCAGGGAGGGCGGCTCACAGCTCACAAAATAATGAGACAAGTCCGCTTTGTGGCCAGTGCTATTCACTTTGCTTCTGTTCTCCTCTGCTGTTTTGTTTTGCTTTTGCTTTGGCTGGGCTTTGTTTGCCTGTTGTTTTCTGCTTTTCTGCTGGCATTTATAAGATTTTCGCCGCCCAACCACTAAAACACAGTCATCGTTTCGGTCATCTAATGACTAAGCGCCAGTCGACAGTCTTCGCCCACTCATTGGTGGGAAATTATTTTCCCACCCTATGCCTCTTCAATTAGGGATGGAAATGCTTCGACATCAATATCGATATTATCGATTGGAGCTTACTATCGATGATTTTGTATCTTAATCGATTAACTTAAGAATCTTATGCGTTGTAGAACCTACATAAGAAATATGTTTTTATCGTTTAAGATTATGTTATATAAGCATAAGCATCGGGGTGTAGTATACATTTTGTAAATGACAGCATAGCTCTGTAAAATCTACGCTTTTACATATTATTCTGTCACTTTTCAAGGATGTCGTCGCCCCACCATCGATGATTGTTAGCTCTCAACCACATGTACACTCGGGTACTATAGCTCATCCTGCCTCCTCCTTCAATAGTATGCATTTGACGCATGTCTATTGGTTTCCCAGCTATAATCAATAAGCTAAATAAAATGTTCGAGGGTGAGAACAGCTTTTGAACGTTACCAAAAGTTGAAATCAACTTTTGCTTCACTATTTCAAATTCATTATTAGTTGCTTAGTTGGTAACGATTCCTAGAATGCATTATCTTTATTCAAAATAAGCTTTATAAACTTTTAAACACAAAAAAGAACACAATTACTCATGAATTTTCCTATCTTAATCAAAGGCACATTATCAGAGATTAAGTTGTTATTATTATAAACCATGCATGTCCCAATAATACAGTAGATAATAAACGAATTAAGCTATAATAAGCCATAATTTGTTTAGCTTCTTTTCAGTTTGTTTAGAATTTTCTGATTATTTTCCCTGAGTACTGTCTTGATATTGTAAACAAGGTGTGTGTTTAATTTAATTTGGTTTAGGATAGATAAAAGTCTCAACATTTTTATTTTAATGCCCTCAATTCACATTAATCTCAATTCGACCATTACTGTAATTGTAAATTTAGTTTAGTTGGTCATAAATAATAAAAGCCATAAGCCTTTTAGGGAAAACCCCATTCATTTTGATTGCCTTTCAGCTTTCTTATTCGTATTCGTACTTCCCCATTCCAATGCATTGAGTACTTGGCAAATATTTAATGCATATTTGTATTGATTTTTGATATGGCTCGTTTGTTGACATTGGGGGACGCCAGTTGGAAAACAGCGACTGGTTTAGCATTTAAGTTGGATTTTAATTCTCCCCCAAATACCCATTTTCTATGGTGTTTATGTAGTGCACAAATTCGCAGGTTCTCAGAGGGTTTTCTCTCACATTTTTATGTAATGCAAAGTGACACGATGATAAGCAGAATTTCCCCTTTCGCCACTTTCACCCTTTTCTCGTCGCATTCCTCTCCAGTGTGAAAATATTGCGCACTGTTTTCGTTTTTCGCTACGTACTTGAAACGTGTCTAAGGAATTGGGGGCTGCAGACGGTTTACCAAGCGGGGAAAACTGTGGAAAAACTACGCAGTAAATGCTCCTCCTCGAAAACACAAACACACACACATGGGGCACTTGGCAAAATCCTTTTGTGCAACGCACGAGAGATGAGTTCATGGTCGGTGAGAATTCCCCATTCCACATTCTCCATTCTCCAGTCGTAGTCGTCTACAGCAATCTCCATCAAGGCATGACAGTGAAAATGCGAGAGATGAAAACCGAACGCCGAACGCCAAATGCATCAAATTACAAATTACTGGCATGCACAGGGAATTTAGTGGCAAAAATTATAAACTGCGTTTCATTGCGTGTCTACGTAGTACGTACTTGGGAAATCATCAAAGCTGTCAGCATGAAATTGATTTCTATACGGTAATGGTAGTTATCGATGAAAGCCTGTTGCTGTGGGCGGGCCCAAATGCACAGGAAAAATTTTTATCTACTCTAAATATAGGATAACAATTAAAAATTTGTATATCTTTATATCTTATGAAGCTGTAAATATGGTTTAAATTTAATTAAATTTAAATTTACTTAAAGAAAAAAATTTTTTTTATTGGAACAATTGGAAACTTGATTTAACTATTTACCATAATAGATAAACCAACGTTCGACTGCTACAAAATTTCCATTGCGCATTTTCAGCAAAAATAAGAACTGAGGGAGGGACCAAACCTTGACCTTATCGCAATGGATACACACTGTCCCCGTATTGATATCGGGGAATCAATCAAATCAGCGCAGAGCCATTAAGTTTACATATGCAACAGCTTTTCCGACCCTTTTGCCTCGTTAAACGAAAAGCAAACAGCAAGCAGGAGAGAAATAAAAAAGAAGAGAACTTGGCACATGTGCCAAGTGCAAAATGCAAATATC